GAGGAAATACTGATACCATGTACTGAAGTAAAAGTACTCTGATCCTGTGAGGAGGAATTACTGATATCATGTACTGAAGTAAAAGTACTGTGATCCTGTGAGGAGGAATTACTGATACCATTTACTGAAGTAAAAGAACTATATACCAGTGTGGAAGCAGTTCTCATATCATGCTCTGAAGTAAAAGTAGTATAAACCAGTGTGGAAGAAGTGTTCAGAGGTTAAAGTACTAGAAAAAGAGTCTGGAAGAAGTAATAAGAGACAAATCCATTCTGCTGCTGCACTACTCCATCACCCTCCTATCTTGCCTCATCATGGCATTACTGATAAAATTGTGCCTTCACTCTTTATGACATGTATTACTTTAAACCTCTGGTTTATACTAGAAGTTTCAGATATACACCTTCATTATGCATATTGCATCTATCCAGGTCTGCTTCTCAAGATAATCGACTTAACAGTTACCTGCCACTAGGTGTCACTGCAGTCATGTAGAGGAAATATGAGATACCTGAAATGAATGTGTTCCAAATACCATCAGTAAGACAGAGCCTCAGATGTGTGGTTTCCATGTTATCAGCCCACTTCCCCCTTTACTTCAACAGCATCAGTAATGTAGTAAAAATCATGTTTTCATCCTGATATATTCTCTGTATAGGGTTTTAATATTATCTATTATTGTTTATATGTAAACCTCAATCTTTGTTTTGTTTCATACAATACAAAATTTAGGGTATGCATCAGTATCAGAGATAAACATCATTAAGTAGTACTGCACACAATCCTCGGCAGAGTAAAAGGAATGACGCAAAGTTAAAACATCCCAGCCACATATACAGTATCCATGCCTTCAACATCATCTTTTCTTCTTCAGATTTTGTGTTTTTCTCAGAGAAAAATGTATGATGATGCAGATAAAATTAAAAATTCAGAATTTTTTTCATTCACATAGAAGATACTGATAAAAATATCAAATTGAAAAGTCAACAAGTTTTGAGAGCTGTGCCGATGTGAGCTGACCCAATTTTCAAGACAGTTTCTGGAATTCATGTCTGAAAAGGGCAATGGTCCCATGATCCCACACTGCTTCATGGCATCATCAAACTAGGTCTTCTCTTATCATTTTGATTGAGTGGCCCCTAGCAAGGGAAGTTAGTTTAAATTGTCCCCCAAAGGTCAACAGGTAAGATAGATCATTTGATGTTAGGCAGAGTCAAAGACAGACAGTTCAAGGAATTGCAAGAGATTTAATTTGATCCAGAGGCAGCTATTTACAATTTAAAAGAAAGACCTGTCTGTCCATACAATTCCACATTCAATTAAAAATGACCTTAGTTTTACAGGAAAGGTACACCTTCATATTCCCATTCTTGTTGCATTTAATCATTAACTAATATTCTGTGCTTAAAAAAATAGCAACCTATAATAACTTTTATATTTAAAATTTCTTTTCAAATTAAAAGGAAGACAAGATATACACAAGCATCAGTTAATCCTACGGTATTTCAACCTGTACACAGCATAGAGAACCCTGTAAGCTACTGGCCAGACGACAATACGAGATAAAAACACTTCTGCGTTTCCAGAAGGCTCCAGCCAAAGTGACTCCCTGTTGACCGTTTATACATTTTCAGATTTTTTGATAAATCCCTGATCTACACTCACAGCAACTTACATTTAAACTCTTAGTATAGACACTACTAGCATGACCTTATTCAGAATGGCTACAGAATGCATTGCATGTTTGATCTTTAAAGGGAAGTACAAAAACTCATTAAAAAAACGTATAAATGAAGAGAGATCATCCAGATCCAGTGCGCTGGATTCGGCGTTGGCTCATGCAGTGGATTGCAGAAATCAAGTGATATGAAAACCAGCATCCTATAGTCCTTTGGGCATTGGGTATATTGGCACGAACAAAAAAATAAAAAAATAAAAACAGGCTCCCGATCTGCAACTTTTTCTAAATCTAGATTGACGCTTAAATGGCCACCTCACGTCACAACCATAAATACAGGCAAGCCGAATAAAAACAAATAAAAGCTGTCACTACTCATGTGATCAAATTACGATATAAAATATCTTGTGCATTCCAGATTATTTTTGTAATTAGATCTCTCCAGGTTTCATTCTAAGGTATCACAATAGCAGTCTGTACACAGTTAATATAAAACACATACAATATCCCAGAGATGTCCAGTCATACAACAGAATCTCCCAGTCTTCATCCTCCAGCCTGCACCCGCCATTCGTCTCTATTGTCTATTATTACTGTGTGGAGAATTATACGTCGTCATCATTATTATTACTGTTATTATTGTATGTTATTACATTAACAGGATGAATTAGCTTTTCCATATGCGGTAAAGGAGAAAAAAAGGCAACACAGAATGAGGCCGCGTTAAAGGTTGTAACTAGCTCCGAGTCCCTGAGGGGTACCACAGAACAGCAGAATGAGAGTAAGCCCTGTAGGTCCGCCGCCACTTCGCCGCCTCATTGGCACGTGGTTCCCCCTGCCGTCTGGGAGAAATACTGCATCTGGCCCGGCGCCCTCCACCACCTCGGTTTAGTGAAAAAGCAATGTAGTGAGAGGGCGATGGAGGGCAAGCGCCAAGCATTCTTGTTCAGAGTCAGTTCCAGGCTTTCCCTGATTATCTGTACAGTACATTCAGGAAACATAAAGGGCCGTCAGTCTGCATAGGAAGCAGCCTCCTGCCACTGAGCTCGTAAGTGCTTCATCATCCACAGAGGGGGGAGACGCTAAGGCCGATGAAACCTGATCGAAACAAAGAGAGAGAACATGAGGTATAAACAAAAGATCACTTTCTTTTTAAAGGAATAATTCTTTAGATCACACTCTGGTTTTGTTGCTATTTATGTTCCAAATTTGTGTGTGACATTTGGTGCAGCCTGTAGTAACAAGGTTATTTAATGTAGTGTTAAACTGCACTGGGAACGCAGGTGTCACCAAATCAACCAGGAGTGTTGTTGAATGAACCAACTGCTACCTCGTGTAAATTCTGCTCTCTTCATGAACCTCCATTTCAGTGCTCTTATAATCGTTGAGCTCCTTCCGGATCGCTGCCTAGACAAAAACAACAGGAAAGAGATTGTCAGATAAAATGAATTTTAAGGGAAAGACATCCTCACCTTCATGTTGCTAAGTTAATATGATGTTGAGCACAGTTTTTTTTATATGGAATGTAGTTGGGTGCGTCTACTGGGTCGGTGGAGAAGACCTTTTGAATGCATACCTTGTCAGCAGGCGTCAGCTTCGTCCACGGCTTTTCTGCTCTCCGGTCGTAGTCTTGGGCGTCTGTAACTTCCACGTACTCGTGAAACCGCAGGATTTTTCTTGCCTGTAGTTCTGCGACTGTGGGTCTTTGACTCAGCTGCAATAAACATGAGTTTATGTTTCAGTTTCATATTCTGAAAATACATGATGCTTTGACACTTGGATGTCTTTGCAGGATACGAGGCCTCACCTTCCTGGTCAATCGCCGCTTGATCTCACGAACCTCCGCTTGTCTGTCAGCCTGGTTTTTGGCTGGAGAAAGAATGAAGGAGGTGAAAAAAAAATCAGAAGAGCTTTATTTAGACTCAGGTTTGAAAGCCTGGTTTGATGTGCAGGAAAAGTAGAGTAAAGCTGTTTCCAAAATTAGACATCTTAAGTGTGATCCATGTTTCAGACAAATCTTTTCAAGTGTAAACTCTTGTCATCGGTGTGTGTAGATCGGATTTTCACAAACATTCAAATGGCTCAAGAATTTTAAAGCTGGCTTTATTTTACTAAAATTATGAATCACTATTGAACTGAGATGTGGTTTTTGTTCATGTCTCTATCAAGGAGTTATTGATTTAAATTTCAGTGGTGGCATCGTTAGATTTAGTAATGAATAAAAAAGGAGAAAAGGAAGGAAAGACTTGATACTGACGCTGAAGGATGTTTCTTTGCTCCAGCTCCTCAGCTGTGGGTCTCTGGCTCAGTCGTCTGAATTAAAAAAAAAGAAGAGCAGCACTATTTTTACACTGTTCCATCACTTTGTCGTTCAGGCAATAAGTAGGACAAAGATCTAAGAAACGATCACCTGCTTTCTTCAGGAAATGCACATTCACTCTTCATCATTTTCAAGGATAAAAAGGTGATGGAACATGAACACAAGTAAGACATGATGTCGTGTGTCAGCACCGGAGAACGGTTTCTGCTGTAGGGAAAAGAAAACGCTATTGCTTGTTTTAATTTCTTAAATCGACTCGGGCGCCACAGAGTCCAGGATGGAAAACAGTGTCAAGCAGGGGGTAATTTGTTTTGGTGGAACATTTGCCCCTGGGGAGGCAATCGCTGTCATTAAAGTTAAATTAAAATCAAATAAAAGATGAAAATTCCCCACAAAGAAAATGACTTAAAAATAAACATTTATGTTGACAGCTGTTTTCAGACATGAACTCCGGAAATTGTCCAGAAAGGGTTGACTTTCACATATGATAAACGCAGCAGGCATTGTCCGAGTCAGACATGTTCACAACAACAGGAAAATGCCCAGAACATTCACGTGAGGGGTTGCACCTGGAGGCAGGATTTAAAATCAACTGTTTTTTCTTTATAGCAAATCAACATTCATGTTGGCCCTCGATTCTCGTCGTCTCTCCAAATTGATGTCTTATTTCGAGATTTCTTTATGAATTTTTCCAGTTTTGCATCCGTCGCGTGTTTGAAATGTCCAGACGCTCGCAATATGTGAATTTTCTGGACATTTTTCTGCTGTATTCTCACATGGGCTCAATCAGACATATTCTGCATGTTTTACTCGGGCGTTGGCAGGAAATATTTCTGGAGCAATGGACTGTGACATTTTCATTCTCACATACAGCCCCCCCTAAAATTTCAGGAAAATATCTGGAGTTTAGTTGGTGTCTGAAAGCAGTGTATGCGACTGCATAATCCAACTCTTCCTCAAACCGTCAATTTTCAGTGTGTAGCTGGGAGATTGTTGTTTCTGGTAGCAGAGTGGATTTTTAATCCACAGTGTAAATCCTGTGTGTCGCACTACCTTGTGAGTGCAGTGCCGATCTGTGTGCGTATGGCCTCCCACTGCTCCCTGCTCTGCCAGGTGAGACCGGTCTGTCCTGGGGGCAGGTCGTCTCGGCAGCTCCTATCCTGTGTAAACCGCTCCCTGTTTGGAGCAGAGGGACGGTTGCTCAGCTTCAGAGCCAGGGTGTCCTTCCTTTTCACCCTGCTGGCGAGGGCACCTGGATAAAATCCAAGCAGACAGATTTAATCGGGTTTACAAATCACTGAAGGTACAGTCAAATTCAAATTTAAATCAACTGTATTTGTCCCCGGAGGGCAAATTATAAAAAAATTATGTTTAAACGTTTTCATAATCTTAGGTTGTGCTCACTTAGAGGGGGCTCGTCCTCTTCGTCATCATCCGAGTCTTCATCTTTATGAAGCACAGGACCGTCTGAATCGCTGTCCTCCCTGTGCATGTTATACTCTTCATCGTCATCCTCTTCTTCGTCTTCTTCCTCCTCTTCACTGCTGTTTCCTCCTGGGATACCACCAACCCCAGCATCACCAACCAAGCATCGCCGACTTCGCGGCTCCAGCTCCGGTTGGGGGATCTCCCCATCGTATTCTTCCTCTTCTTCATCATCTTCCTCCTCTAACTCTTCCTCCTCTGAGTAATCATCTTCAGATCTAATGGAAAGAGAAAACAAATAAATATATACATATTAGAAAAAGATAAAGCATGTACTTGGAGACACATTCTCCTCTCAACCTTTAAGCTGTAGTTGACTTGCATTGATGAAGATATGCTATTCTCCAGATTTAAACTGAATCAAATAAAACATGCACAAGGCTTCAAAATGGACGTTAAGGCCACTCAAGGTCACATACAAAGCGAGCTCTCTTGTAGATATAAATACTACAGAAATATTTCTGTCTTTTGCCTGCTAACCTTGCCTTTTCTTGTACTAACATATAATTTGGTTTCAACAGAACAGTTCTGCTTTTATAATGTGCAGAGGGACTCACAGCTTTAGTGGTTGGATGCTGACGGGCAAGGGGCGACTACGTTCTCCTCCTTGGTATTCTGGAGGGGTTTCAAAAAGCAGTGCGTGAGCACGCTGTGACCCGTCTGGATGAGGTTGAGCTGGGCCAGGACTGGACAAGGCTCTCTGGATCATGATGTGCAGCGGGATGGGAGCCGGCCGCTGGGGAGACTCGTTGATCGGGCTTGGCGGGTCAAACAGCATTGGTATGGGTTGGGGCAGCGGGTGGGGGTAGGAGTGCTGATGGTGGAGGTGGTGAGTGTGGATGTGTTGGCGGGGCGGAGAGGGTGGGATGTGAGTTGGGAGGGGAGGAGAGGGAGGTGGGGGAGGCAGCTGAAAGCCCACGGAGAGGCTGCTGTGGTCGTCCAGAGAGAGAGGCGAGGGGTTGATTGGATGGCTTGAAGCTGAAGACTCCTCTGGGGTGCGTTTGGTGACTGGGGTGGTCCTCTTGGGGGGCATGGGCGGAGACGGCTTGGCCGGCACAAGACTAGCACCCCCGCTGGCTTGAGTGAAGTCACCTGCAAATGAATTAATTCAGTTAATTCATCCAATCAAAAAGGTAAAAAGTGGAAGATTAGAGAGTGAGCTGCTACCAGGAGCTAGTTTTCCACATACATTTTGAAGGTTTTTTTCATTTCTTTATTCAGGAGCAGGACTTGCTGATTGTTTTCACATTCAGATTTTGAAACACTTTCACTCAAAAGCCTGTAGTGTTGACAAATAAAACTGTCCTGCCCTCAGTTTGAGTGCGTTGGCTTTACATGTTTGTGAGTCTTGTATGTGCGGTTACATTAACTGGGTTCATGCACTCCTGCTCTCCATGGCTTTGTTATCACACCTGCTTCCTGTCGGTGTGTTTGAGGGAAAAACGGCGAGTCCAGCAGATCTATCCTGGTTTACATGGAGCAGCAGATTCAAGCAACACAAGTATGTTTTTTAAGTTGCAGGAACACAATGCACTCACAATGAGGACGGGACAATTTCAATTGTCACAACTACACCACCTCTACAGACATTTCACGTGTTTACATAAGCAGCATCAGCAGGATAAGAGCTGAAGCTGGAGCGCAAGAAATCTAAGCAGGGGCTATTTGAGTGCAAGCGCAGGGTTTTGAGTGAAAGCGTTCTGTGTGTGTGAAATCAATAATTCCTGCTCTCAAATGAAGATAGGAAAACGAGACCAATAATACATCAGCCATACATGTATGATGTACCCACCATGACAGAACACACATGAACAAATATAAATACTGGGATTACATGTCTGACCGAGCATCATTGAGCACATACAGTGAGTTGGATCACATGATCGTTTCAACATGAATGCACAAACTAGTGTGCAGCATGTGCTTCGGGTCACAGAGATTCAGTCTCTACATGCTCTACACAGCCAGCTACTAAACCTGCTGTTTCTCTTATTGGTGCAGAAAGCTCCTAAACAAAAAGCTCATACACAAACCATCAGTCAATTTGCATGCACATTTGGATATTTGCCTTAAAATTCTTAAAACATTCATCTTAAGAGCCACAGCCGTGCTATAGAGGTGTAAGAAGAGATCAGTGTTGCCATGCAGTGGACTTCACTGAACTAGTTTGGAGCTGGACTTAATTTCTCTAAATTAAGTCCAGCCCCGATGTTAGGACCCTTTCACATCTTCCACTCATCCAGACGGATTCATCCATCCATCCCTGTTGAGCAGAAGCTGAGTGGATTAGCGCTGTAAAATTCACTGGATGCACTGCAGGCCACAGCTGGAGCCCGCAAAAGCCTCTTCCTCATTCACATGCCAAACAGGAGAGAACAGGACTGAAAACACTCACACACACAGAGATGTTGTCTCCCTTACTCACAAAGCACCCAGCGCACTCATTATCAGCTCGTTAATGTTCATGCGACTCTTATATACCACACCCAAAGAGAAGCAATCAAGGCCAATCAGCAGGATAAAGGCATCTGAATGGGCGGGAAATGTGGTGGCGACTTAAAAAGGACACGACAAGATGAAGAACGCAGGCGCTGAAGGAGGGCATTCCACACACGGGCACCCTGGCAGCAGAGGTAACCAGAGGGCCTCTTTTTACCTGAGCGCAGGCCTCCAGCCCGTCGGCACAGGTAGACGGGCAGGGATAGGTAGACGTCATAGTCGCACTCTCGCTTCCAGCAGGACCAGTAGAGAGGAAGCTGAGCGTTCTCTCCCCCCTGCAGGGCGGAGACTAACAGGGAGGAGACGGAGGCCTTCAGCTGGTGTTTTTAATGAATGAGGGTACATGGTCTACTCTGGGGTACTTATGCTAAATGCTAAATGCTCGTTTTGTCATTTATTCACGGCAATTTTATCCACACTTGAACTTGTTTTCTACTAGCAAAGGAATAGTTCCACATTGTGGGAAATATGCTTATTTCTTTTGGTGCTGAGAGTTGGATTAGAAGATTAACACAACGCTCATGTATGTGTGTTAAATATTATGATACAACCAGGAGGAGCTTATGTCTTAAGACTGGGAGGAGGGGGAGACCGTCTGATGGGATATATGTACAAAACCAAAGTGTCTCAAGGTTTTAGCTTTATATTTAACAGACAGATCTGAGAGCGGTGTTCAGTTTCTCAACAAGGATGCAAAAGTATCTCCAAATTGTCAGAATATTAACTAAAAAACATTTAAGTTGCTTTCAGACATGAGTCAGTTGCTGTGGACATCTCTGGAGTTTTTCCCCAACAGCCCCTTGGTAAAAACTGCAGAGAAAGTCCAGGTGAGCCAGTTTGAGAAGCAGGATTATGTCCAGAGAATTCACCACAAGCAAAAGAGGGTACGTTCTACGTTGATATTGTTTCCAACACATGACGGACTCAAAGCAGGAAAAACAGAAACAATACAAATATCTAAAGAGGATAAAAAAGAGGTGTCATACACTAAGAAGGGCTTTTGGTGATTTCGGTTGGTTTTACCTACATCTCTGACTGAAAATCTCCAGCAGCATAGTTCTGCAATATGAAAGGTAAAGTCCAGAAAATGTCTGCAACCTTTCATGTCTGAAAACAGCTGCAGTTTGACTTTATAGGACGGCTACAATAAACTCACAACAAGAGCATCAACAGGTTTTTGTTCCATTTCTGGTTGGCCTACTCTTAACAGGCCAAATTTTGTGAGGCTAAAACTGCTGTTAATTTCCAAGTGAGTTGCACTGCTTTCTATTTATACGTGCTCTGAATGCAAATAACCAAAATAACTTCAAGAGACCACAAACAGGTCTTCTCATAATATTATTTTTCCACATTTGACTACATGACTGATAAACACGGGAGACATAGAAAACCCCTCACACTTCATATCATTACCAAAATAAACTTTGCATAATGCAATCACAACTTGTACTGTTCCAAAGTCATTGGCTCTGCTGATAAGATAAAACTGAGAAAGCTTTGCCGAGTGGCAATTAAGTCAAGATCCCAGATGAGACAGGCCCACAGTAAACAACAACAACAACCACTACACTGCGTCTGTGTGAGCAGCGGCCCGCAGTCACAAGAGTCCCTGTTATCTTCAGAGTCCAAAATGCTGGAAAAGTGGCAGCTAGAACAGTCCAGGCGTCATAAGTAATTAGCTGGGGAAAGCTGCACAAGCTGTTCAGATAACATCATTACCAGAATGTGTGTGTGAATGTGTCTGTTGAAGGCTTCTCTTCACCATCGCTTGTGCACTGACTCATAAATGTACACACTGAACTCACCAGTGGGAAAATGCCAAGTTAACTGAGCAGACATTTCAGTGTTGTGTTCTTAATGCACATTTGTGACTGCTGATGCATGGTACACTCCCTCCATCCTACCCAGAACCTACCGAGCATGGCGGTGTTGTTCCTGTTCACAGGCTTGGGCGGAGGCAGAGGCGGCTGCTTGGTGCCCTGAGAGGTGGAGGCTGGTGCCGCAGACTGCTGAGTGGACACACCGGCAGAGGAGACGCACCGCACGGGCTTGGGTGCTGCAGCCGGGGGGGCGGCGGGAGAGGAGTACTGGGATGCAGGGTGGTTGCACGGGGTGCGGGGCGAACCTTCGCTGTCGGGTTCAGGGGTGGAGCTCATCAGCCACTTTGGAGCCATGACTGGCTGTTTGGGTGGCAGAGGTTCACGCAGGGTGTTCCGCAGGGCTTCAGCATCAGGGACAAAATGGCACTCTGACTCTGAAACACAGTTTTAAACAAGTTTATTCTAGTTTAATTATTTCAAAACTACAGCTAAGCAATCGACTGAGATTGAGAAATTAAACAAAAATGCCAGGGACACTTACAAATCAGTGTCCAACTGTGGTGCATATAAAATGCTCTATACAGCAAGCATTTACAAAGAGTGTGTTTATCTTTTTCTTTGTTGAATTAGCCACATCTCATTATGAAAAACATCTTTATAAATGTTTCAACTCCTGCACAGAGCACTAAGCCAATTTCTGCCGCTTCACCACTCCAAGTGATCTCTGTGATAGCACTTGTTTGAGAATTGTTTTATCTAGGGATCAGCTGTGAAGATAAACAGAGTAGGCGGCTGCAATTACCACCAAAGACCCACCCTCCCTCTGCCCACCCCACTGCACCACACCCCCGGGCGGCCCCCACGCTGCCTCCACTGCTACAGCTGCTTTTGCTGCTCCCACGCCATTCCTCAAAGCTGCAGCTCTGAAATTTAGGGTTATTTATTTACAGCCAAGCCTTTAACATGGTGACGTCACATGGCCAAAGAGGAAACAATCAAGAGGGGAGGAGGAAGTGAGTCTGAACATCAGCGAGGACAGAGGTAGAGATAGAAAAGGAGGACAGAGAGCAGGATAAAGATAGAAAGAGAGTGGGAGAGAAAAGCAGCATCAGAGAAGGAAATAAGAAAAACATGAGAGTGAGAGAGAGAAAGAAAAGAGCAAAGAAGCGATGCACAGGAGAAAATATGGTGTTTTCAATATGACAGTGGGTCATGTGTCAGACATAATGGACAATTTAAAGTCTGAAAAGAGCACAAAACACTATTATTTCTCAGTGCTCAGTGGAGTCAGTGAGCTGTGGCTCTTCACCAATTATCAGTGAAGTGACAGTGTTAGCAGTAAAGGGCAATAATGGGTTTAGCGATCGTGACACATTAATTAGGAGAGGAGAAGAGAGGACGAGCTATTCCCTCATGTGCCTGAATAAGAAGCGGAGCTGGAGCAGGGCCCTTGGGAGCCGCCAGGAGCCTGTCTATATCTGGGAGGACAGCACACAAGCAGGAAAGTGACAGCAAGAGAGAGAGAAAAAAATACATGGACTGAAGACACACTTATTACCTACGCTTATTCATTAAGTAACATGCAACATACAGGGATGTTATGATCACAGCAGTTGGTGGAAGATCTCAGGTGACTCACCTCTGTGGGCCCTTCCCTCCTCAGCTGATGCATGTCGAGGGAGAGCTGGTTTCCAGTCCGCTTCCACAGGCTTGCTCCGCCTGCCGTCCTCCGAGGGGGCCTTCTGCAGCCCAGGCCTCCTCTGCCCGTCATCAGGATGAAGTCGGCCTCCACGTCTGCACTCCTCCATCTGTCCGTGAATCTGGCCCTGCCAGACCATGTTAGGCTTCCACTCGCCCTCAACGTGCACACGTGGACCCATCCCTACACCTCTACGCACGTCCTCATGCAGTCCTGTACCCCTCGAACATGGAGCTCCCCGGCGATCTCCGTCTGAGGAGGGAGGGCGGACCCTGCGGTCGTCCGGCTGGGCGAGCCAGGCCTGGTTCATCCTAAAGTCTGACTCAGGGGGGAGTTTGCCCTGGTTGCATGGGCTCCTGGCGCTGCTGACGACTCCCGCGCCTCCACCTCCAACCCCGGCACTCACAGGCAGAGTGTGGCCGTTTTTCACATAGGGCTGCTTAAGGTTGTGTGTATCTGTGTCTTGAAAGTTTGGACAAAAGAACATAAGTCTTTGGTGAACAAATATAAAACTGAGTGGATCCAACACTATTCTCACTCACTAAGTTGGAAATGAGACACTAAACCTCCACTCACTAAAATATTCATGTTTAACATTGGCAGCATCATGTTCGATGATGTAGAATATTCATGATTTTTACTCTTCATTCCCTCACTGAACCTAGATCTGATTCACATTAAGATTAGTGGATTAATCCACTATTTGATTGACAAAAAATTAGGAACAATTTTGATGCTGACTGGTTCATGTTTTGGGTTTTGTTTAGTGAAAAAGACATATTCACTTGAAGAATATGAGGATTTGTAGCCACTGGTTTATCTTCATTCAAACTGAACACATTTTGGTTTCTGTCTAACAAGCTGATTATTTGGGCCCTGAGATAATGTGATAAGCACCAGGCCTGTACCCTGGTAAAAAAGAAAGATGCCCTGAACTCCAGCCCTGTAGACAGAGTCTGTGTTTGTTGGTGTGATGAAGGAGCAGCTGTAGATTTAATAAATAGGCTCCTGCGACAGCGGGGCCGGCTGCAGAACACATGCACACACCCTCTCAAAGCTGTTTTGCTGCAGGGCACAATTCGTTCCACTTTCCCTCAGCTCTGGAGAGTTGCATGCAATTTTAAACAGATATTACATTACTGTAATGAAGGTGAAAGTAAATGTACCTTTTTTAAAGTAACATGTCTGAGACTGGTGCTGAACAGTGTTCCTGCCATAATGTACTGATGACTTAACTGTACTGTCTGTGTGGGTGTGACAGCCTCAGGGCTGCTGCTGCTGCTAGTGTCAAGATGCGAAGCTGTTGTGCAGAGAGATCAGATGTATCACAGGAGCGCTCTTACCGTTGTCCGGGACCTCTTTCAGCACGCCCTGCTCTATGAGCTCCTGCCGCGTGCGCCTCGTCGACATCTTTCTCTCCAGCTCTGTCACACATAAAGAATTTCAGTTACATGCAAAGTTTCAAGATCTCCACAAGGAAAAATACAAGTTAAAATCACGTGTGACCTCATGCTCCAGAATTCAAAAATGGAAGTTTAGAGATGTTTTATCAGCAACTTAGTTTTACTGAAGTGTGAATATACAGGTAGTCTACAACTATACACATGTTTAGTAATACTTTAAAAGACCTTTCCAATACCACTTGAAAGTAAAGTTAAGACTGACTTGAAATACAAATACACACCAATAGTGAAATATCCTTTATTATAAACACATTATGTGTTAGACTTCACCAACTTGATCCCCATTGTTCAAAGTTGGAAAAAATTTCGACACACAGTGCTCTTTTCATAAGCTCTTACAGGAACTGGCTTTAACCACCACAAGATCTCGTCATTCTCAAGCCACTTATATTTAAACTTGCATTAACCCTAAGTTCATGAACGAGCCAGCAGCTGAAAAGGAAGGTATTAGTTAAATTTATAAACTTGACCAGAAACACACTGATGGCCCAATGCATACCAGAACTAATAATTATTCTTTGGTCTGGCGGAATACAGACATTTTCGCATTGAAATTGGTGGTACTGAAATCAGAAGTAGAAAGACATTGAAATACTTATTAAGGCCTTTTATATGTAAAATTCTTTTACGACAGTTGAAGAGTTTTTGCAGAGAAACCAAGAGGCCTGTAACATTCAGGTGGGAACACAAGCATCAAGGACAGAATTCCTTGAAAGCTGAATGTAACTGATATGAGTCGAGGTGAGGTGAAGAATGGGTTCAAATCACAAACCTTCCGAAGTTTCCTGGAACTTGTCGCTGCTTTTCTTCTTCCGCCACTTCCACGGCTTGAAGATTTTGCCAAGGGTAGAGAACTTGCCCTTACGCTTTGGGGGAGGGGTGCTATCCACCGTGCTGCCCCCCTCTCCCACCATTGTGCCGTGGTGCTGCTCAGCTTCATCATCTAAAGAAAGAGAGAGAACATTATAAACATTTTCAAATAGAGACACAGGAGCCTGGGAAGAAAGAGCATAGATCCATTGGCTGTCACAATAGTCTGACGGAGGCCTTTCTGTTCTAACTGAGCTCATCTGCCGCCTTTGAAAAGAGGTGCCATGCTCATTACGGCTGTTATTATCTTTAGACATCAGTTCTCTGGGATTGAGTGTGCTTTAGCAGGGTGATGCTGAGAGCTCATGGACTCCTCCACATATCCACAGTTAACAGGAGAGGTCTGACGCTGGCGTCAAGCCACGATCTAGCTCTCTCCTTCTCTCTCACTCTCTCTGTCAAGTGCTCACATTCCTTGGCTGGATGGAGACTAGTGCCTTATCAGCCATTCAGCTCAAAGAGGAGAGGAGGCACACACACATACACACACAAATGCAATCACACAGCGGGAGGAAAAAACTGTCAGTCACGTTACATGCATACGGCTAACAAGTGTGTAGCAGAACCTTTTAAAAAACCCTGATCATTATAAGACGCCATTCTGACCTGAAGTACTACATTAAATTGGCAGGGGTGGTTGCTTATTCCTGGTTATGTAATTGACAGGCCAACAGACAGGGTGCTGAGCTCAGAGTTTCAAACATTAGCTCTTTTTCTCCAGGCTGCAGTTGCTGTGTTCTGCAGACATAATATTTACCAGTGGAGGGAGAGAAGGGTCAGATTAAACACACATGAAAAAAGAGGAGGACATGAAAATGTTATATACTGTATATGTGATGTTATGCATATATGTAATATGATGTTCACAAATATTAAACATTGTATTATCTCATCCATATATATTGCTTCATTTAGTAACAGTTCATTTGTTTTTCAGTCAGGTTTTCAACCTAAACTAATCTTAACATAAACCTGAACTTCAACCCAACCTCACAGAC